CTGCAGCAGTCACAGAGGACATGGACAGAGCAAGAATGATTTGCCTTATGCCTTTAAAAGCGCACTGGATGAGCTGTTAACCATTTTTTGGAAATTGCTATTCTAGCAATTACTGCTATTGCTATTCATTGCGATTTCAGCAAGGTACCTACTCACACTCAATGAGTAAATCGCATGCGATGCAAAGCCAAAGTTCAGGATTCATGTGCTCACACTGTACGGTCTGATCGTCGAGCGGCGACTTCACTGCTCACACTATACGTGTAATATCTGCGATAACCCCCTGGATTGCGCCTATTTACGTGTGTGTATCCAGGGATATTGTCAAAACAAGCATCTGCTATCAGTATCACGATGATTTAGCATTTTCAATTTATGCATTTAATTATTATTAGTATTATTGTATTATCATTATTAGGGGAGGGCTATAGGCTAATTTTTTTATTAAATTGATCCGCTTTTATAATTAATTTGCCACGCAATATTTTCACAGCACATAACCATCGTGCTGTGAGGATAATAAAATATTACATAATCTTACTCATTAAAAATTGTCTAAAACATTTAGGTCGATTATTTAGGCTACAATGAATTATAGGCATATAAAAAAAACTATCAACAGTCTATAATATGTCCGAACATTGCCATAATTAATCATCAATGAAAATCAAAAACAGGTTTATTTCAAAAACATTGTTTGACAAATTAATAAGGTGTTACATTGCAGGTGGCTTGGAAGACGTGGGTAATATTATCCATTTTGCAACACGAACTGGAGGTAAGCAAATTTGTAGCTAGTTTGAACTACAGAACTTAAAGATCTCCCTCTTTTCGTTTTTACTTTAATTTTATTTTTGCTGCAGATGAAATGGTTAAATTTCTGTTTTCGCGCAGGTGCAGTGAGGGAAAAAAAACACTGAGTTCAGGGCAATCGGTTCGTAGCTTTGCTTCAACTGTGTGATAAAGAGTCGCACGAGTCAGAATTCGGCTCAAAAACGGACGAAAATCGCACAGTGTATGCCCGCCTTTAAAGGGTTAGTTCACCCAAAAATGAAAATTAAGTCATTAATTACTTACCCCCATGCTGTACCAACCCCGTAAGACCTTCGTTCATCTTCGGAACACAAATGAAGATATTTTTGATTAAATTTGAGAGCTGTATAACTACCACATTGGCTCCTAAGGGACTGCCTCTTGACGGCCCAGAAAGTCAATGAAGAAAATGTTTAAATATCCCAAGTGACTACCGTGGCTCAACTATATGTTTATCAAGCGACGAGAATACTTTTTGTGCGAAAAAACAAACAAAAATAACGAGTTTATCCGACTATTTCTTTTCTTCCTTGTAGGCCAGAAACCTAAGGAAATCATGGAAATCTAAGGAAGTCTCGTTTCTGGCCTACAAGGAAGAAAAGAAATAGTCGAATAAACTCGTTATTTTTGTTTGTTTTTTCGCACAAAAAGTATTCGCGTCGCTTGATAAACATATAGTTGAGCCACGGTAGTCACTTGGGATATTTAAACATTTTCTTCATTGACTTTCTGGGCCGCCAAGAGGCAGTCCCTTAGGAGCCAATGTGGTAGTTATACAGCTCTCAAATTTAATCAAAAATATCTTCATTTGTGTTCCGAAGACGAACGAAGGTCTTACGGGGTTGGTACAGCATGGGGGTGATTAATTAATGACTTAATTTTCATTTTTGGGTGAACTAACCCTTTAAGGGTTGAGGCAAACAGAGGAATCCAGGGGAACAGGCCGAGAATCAAAAGAACCAGGACACTAGTGATGGGTCATTCATTAACGATCCATTCATTGTGTCTGTCACGTCACAAATGAACGAAAGACTCAGAAGGTAAAGTCATTATTTATGTTGACTGCATTATATTGATTTCTTAATTTCAGAATATGACCAAGATTGAGAGGTGGACGTGTTCAGGGAATTTGGCTGTTAAAAGTACAACATTTAAAATAATTTGAATGAACTAAATGACTTGAAAAAAGATACGTTAATTTTGAGGAACAAGAGAGTCAGTAAAATTATCCAAAGTTCACATCGGGACATGGGGATTCACACAAGTTCTTAGCAATGAGTGGCTAATGAGGCGACAGAGCTGAAAATAATCATGGATTATGGGGAATGCAGTCCTTGATGGAATGGCAAAAGAGTGGGCAACCAGGGCTCAACCAGTCGTCTCGTGAACAACTTCACTAGAAACAAAGTAATCAGATTGTTTTCTATCATTATCAATTTTTCGAAATATTTTGCATAAGCATATAATATAATATAAATTACTTTGTATATAATATATTATCTTTATTAATATACTAAGAAAAAATATTGTAATATTACATACATTATTATGCAGTTAATTATCCATAACTTGGTTTTGTTGCTGTTGTTGGCAAAAAGATAGAATACATTTTTTTATAGAAAAGACTTGAGATTGGGAATGCTAAGCTATCCCAGAGAGATTGAAAGGCAAAGTGGATACAGGGTGTACTTTGTGCCATGTAACCTCGAATCACTCCAGAGGCAAGGAAAAAATCCATAGCAGCTGGCTGGTGTTTGGATCAGCCCTTTATGGACTGTTATCTCTCTTCAAGCAGTTCAATAAACACAAAGCTTTTCTTTTTTTTTTCTTCTTTTTTTTTTTTTGCATGAAAGCTTTACAAGCCTTAACTATAAAGACAAATAATCTGATTCAGTTCATTAAATGTATGTTTGTAATCACAAATTAAAAAATTAATAATGTTGCAAAAATCACAATATTAAAATGTCAAATTAAACTCTGTGCTCGTATATTATTTCATTTTACTATCCAATGTTAATGATCATAATTTTCTGAAAATCACAGAAAATTCTGCAAAAATATTCTTATCATCCTATTAACTGCTTTTATGTCTGAAGTCTTATTTTAAATGATTGAATTTACTTTTTTTTAATTATTATTTTTTTCCATTATCCCCATGGAAATGAATTTATAACTAAAGTTATGAGGATTATTTCCCCCCACACTACATCATATCCATAAATTATGCATTTCTGACTAGTGCCACATGAAGTAATCCTCCTAGAGCTGCATGATGTAATCTTCTGACAAATCCTACTATGGCTCTTAAAAGGAATGTTGTGCATAAGCTGGTCCCAGTTATTCAGAAAAGTCACAATTGGACAGAAATGAAAACCGCAGCACAGGAGCTCAACAGTGACTCCTTGTTAATGATGTCTCCTCACAGCGGTTCCAGTCCCAGCTCAGCCAGTTTGAGTTTGTGTGTTCTCCCTGTATACAAAACTTGCAGCATAGGTCAATTGATCAAAGACCTTGCGATGCCCGCCGGAAAAATAACCTGCAAGAGCATTTATGGACAGTCTCTCACATTGTTACAGCCCTTAAATGAATAACTAATTATTTTAAAAGAGTAGTTCACTTTTAACAACTTTTGCTGATAATTTACTCACCCGCATGTCATCCAAGATGTCCATGTCATTCTTTCTTCAGTCGAAAAGAAATTAAGGTTTTTCATGAAAACATTCCAGGATTTTTCTCCATATAATGGACTTCAATGGGAACCAAACGGTTCAAGGTCCAAAAGACAGTTTCAGTGCAAACTGAAAAAGGGCTTTAAACGACACCAGATGTTGAATAAGGGTCTTATCAAGCGAAACGATCACTCATTTAATAAATAAATAACAAAGTTTAGTTTTATAAGCTCAAATGCTCGCCTTGCTCTGTTCTGCAATGAGCGTTCGTGACTCTCCTGTTCGAACTCGTTTATCAAAATTAACAAATCTTTTCCAGAGTCAACTCATTCATTTCATTCATTGAAACAACCAAATGACACGAGAAAAGATTAGTTAATTTTGATGAACGAGTTCGAACAGGAGAGTCACGAACGTGCATCACAGATCAGATCAAGCATTTGAGCTTATAAAACGTAAACTTTGTGATTTATTTATTAAATGAGTGATGGTTTCGCTTGATAAGACCCTTATTCATCGTCTGGAATCGTTTAAAGCCCTTTGAACAGTTTGCACTTAAACTCCCATTTGACCTTGAACCGTTTGGTTCCCATTGAAATCCATTATATGGAGAAAATCCTGGAATGTTTTCATCAAAAACCTTAATTTCTTTTTGACTGAAGAAAGAAAGACATGGACATCTTGGATGACATGGGGGTGAGTAAATTATCAGCAAAAGTTTTTTTTTAAAGTGAACTACTCCTTTAACAATGGATGAATCAACACTGAACTTACTTAAACTGGGCAATGTCTTGCTTCTAGAGCAGCTGCACAGCCAAAACTAGCTTTGTTGCATTATTTCCTTTATTATACCATTGTAAAGCTGCTTCAAAACAATCTGTACTGCAAAAAGCGCGATGTAAATAAAGGTCACTTGACTTGCCACTTTTGGAACATAAATATTTCTGTCATTTTTAGGTTTACCACAGGATCCGAATTGGTTTAAAGTCAGCCTAAAATAATTTACATTGTTCTTCCGGTAAATGCAAAGTGTCCCGATCCTGAGGCAGCAAAGCAGCCATTAACTATGAAGCTAATTCCCTGGGAAGTGGCTTTGGTTTCGGTGTGAACTGCCTTTTTTCCTTTTCAACAAATTGTTGTATATTTTTGCCAACAATTTCTCTACAGAGAACATACTGTATACCTTACCATCGATTCATGAACACCCAGGTTTTTAGCAGCTTTGCTAGCCTTTTCCAGCTTTGTGCCTCTCTGTAATGCAGTTTTAAGGTCATGTGAAAGCTCTTGGGATAAAGGCGTGGTTCACGCTGTCCAATCTTTCTTGAGAAGAACATGCTGTGAACGGACAATTTAATCATGCACAAACACATCTGTGATGAAGAAACATCAGTCATACATTATCTTTACTCAGACTACAATGCTCTCTTCAACACAGACACACACACACACACACACACAGAGATTCTCTCTCTCTCTCTCTCTCTCTCTCTCTGAAAGGCTTGTCTCGGAACAGGTTAATATCTGCTCAGTGTCAGTTTGTTTGTCGGATGCAGATGTTCTCCACATGTGCACATCCACAGAATCATGAGCAGGATCCTATTGTACTGTACAATGGACTCTAACATGAAGGTAAGCATTAACCCTTTTAAAAGTACATTCATTTCTTTTTTTTCAAATCATTTATATGTATTTTGTCTTTTGATAAATCTACATGAACCAATGGATATTAATATTCTGTAGAACACCATTTGCAGTTTCTAAATATTTTCCACATATTTTTCTTATTTTGATGTCCACTATGCATGAATGAATTATGAAATGAAAGAGATATATTGAGAGATTTAAGTTGCATTGTGGTATAAAGACATGAGCTTGAATCACAGATTTTGTCAGTGATTATTAACATGGGTTTACGACTTAACTGCCATACAATTTTGGGAAAGAAACAAAACAAAAATGTTTATACAGACAAATAAATAAAAACATGAGGTTTACCAATTACATAAATAGAAAATGGTTTTATTTATTTCATCTTTTTGATAAAATAACCAGCTTTCAGCATAACATTACTTGTATATGCCCTAAAGAGAGATTAATAAAACTAATAACAAATTAAACACCTGATTAAACACGACAAATTGATATTATATATAAGCTTTGCACTGGCAGTTAAGTGACAGAGACTTCCAGTCCTTGAGCTTTTGTGGTGAATTCTGCATTTCACCGACTTTATTAGGGTTACTATGGAAGCTTGTTTCAATATTAATAATAAAAAGGTAATTGCAAACTTTTATCTCAGAATTCTGACATTTTTCCACACAATTGCAAGTTTAAATCTCACAATTCTGAATATTTTCTCAAAATTTTCCCATCGTGAGTTATAAAATCAGAATCGTGAGACATAAAGTAGCAATTGTGAAAAATAAAGTCCAAACTGCGAGATATAATCTCACAATTCTGATTTTTTTTCTTGCATTTGTGTTAAGCCAATTCTGACTTTTTTTTCAGAATTGTGAGACATAAACTCCCAATCACAAGTTATAAAGTCCATTTCTGAGGGAAATAAATAATGAGATTACAATTACGACTTTTTATCTCACAGTTCCGACTTTATATATCTCATAATTGACGTTATAACTTGAAATTGTAAGTTTATATCAAGCAATTTTCTGTAAAAAAAAATCTAAATTGTGAGATAAAAATTCGTAATTACATTTTTTACTTTTTATTCAGTAGATAAATGTACACGTGCCCCTAAAAAAAGAAAGTTTTATGTGGGTGTTGATCTGACATGAGCATTGATTGTTTAGCTGTTCAGCCTGTTTGAACACCAGGGATGATTATGACATAAAGGTCATTGCTCTTCTAGGTCAGTGTGCACTACATTGCTGTACAAAGCCACATAACAAATAAATTTGACTGGAAGCATTGATCGTCCAAGAACGGAATTATACAGCATTATACCAGCTTCAAGGCACAGTAATGTGATCGAAATTTTAGCTGTTTTACCCACAATTTTTGTTGGCTATGTTTTTTTTTTTTAAATCAAATAATTAACCCATAGCATGAGATTCCATTTCAGTTAGGATGATGATGCTTTAGACACACTAACATCTACAGTTGAAACCAGATATTTACATAATTTCAGAAAAAAAAAAAAAGTTTAATTCTTTACTGTCATAGATTAAGTCAGAGTATTTTTTTCTGTTTTAGATCAATAAATACAAACATATTTTTGCATTTGTTAAATGTCAGAATCAAGTGAGAGATCATTTTTATGTTTTTTTTTTTTAAATCACATTCATCGAAGTCAGAAGTATGCACAAAGTTTAAGAAAACTCCAGAAGATTCCATTCCTGTGCTTAAGAAGCTTCTGGTGGGTTAATTTATTCCATTTGAGTTAATTGGTGGCACACCTGTGGACGCATATAAAGGCACACCTCAAACACAGAGCCTCTTTCTTTGACATCGTGGGGAAATCAAGAGAAATCAACCACGACATCAGGAAAAGAATTTTGAACCTCCACAAGTGTGGCTCATCCTTATGTGCAATTTCTAGATGCCTGAAGGTCCCACATTCATCTGTTCAGACAATAATATGCAAGTATAAAAAACATGGGAATGGGCAGGGCAACCATCATACCGCTCAGGAAGGAGACGGATTCTGAGTCCCATAGAGGAAAGTTTTTTGGTGCGAAATGTGCGAATCAATCCCAGAACAACAGCAAAAGACCTTGTGAAGATGGTAGCTGAAACTAGTAAGACAGTGTCATTATCCACAGTAAAATGGGTCCTGTACTGGTCTGCATCTATAGTTCCAGATAAACTGCCTCAAGTGACCCGGGTGTGTTATGTTGATAATTTGAGTTAATTCTGAGTATTATAACCAGTGCTCCTGTGCTATATAAACTGCTTATAAACTGCTGTGCTGACGCTGACCTTCTGCTGTCTGAGCCCTACATTGCAAAGACAGTTCAGCCACTTGTTTTCATTGCCCAGGGACGAGCATGTGAAGAATCAGTGGATAGAGTTCATATTTGCAACGATACCACAACAGTATAGCCCAAACCTTGTTTTCTCATCATTTTAATGACGAATCATTCAAAAACATAAATGAATTCAAATGTGGATTCGCAAGCCAGTTGTTCCCGAAGGAGGGCTCAGTATCCAGTGTATATGGATCAGGTTCGTCCTCCGAATCACAATCTGTAAGTATTATTAATAATGTTTGTTATGTTTTTTGTAGCATGCACAATATAGTTATATTTTATTTTGTGTTGTGGACACTCCGCGCAGCTTCTAAGCGGGGTAAAGTTACTTTTGTTTTTGATATTCCCCAGACATTCACTGAAAAATGGCAATTACCTCCTAAACGACTAAGCCAAAAGTTATTTAAACACCATTGCCGCTAAAAAGGCAAGGCAAACAATGTTTCACAAGCTTATCTCTCAGCCTTGGCCCTTGCTAGGACATCTCTCCAGTCAGTCAACCAGTTCGAGGTTCCAGTGGGATGACAAGAGTCGACCAATCTGTCACAGCTGTGGGGAGCCGGGGAACATTAACTGTCAGTGTGGTCTCCGACGTGGTTCCCAAGGGGGTTTTTAGGTTTACTGACCACTGTGGGTCAAGTGGCCGGTACTGCTTTGATTGACCATCCCCTTTTGCCCGCCCCTAGAGGCATTGTTCCACTGTCGAGATGCATGTTCAGATGCTTAGTGGATACTGGCTCTCAGGTCACATTGATTTCGGAAAGTTTGTACAAAGAACTCTTTGATGTCCCTCAACTTCAGGGAGCAGAAACTCCATGCTCACCTTGCGGGGGTCTAATGGACTCGACATCCTCTACGTAGTAGTAGTTGATTTCCAGGTCCAAGGTGTTATGGTGCCGGAGAAGAGGGCCGTTGTTGTCCAAGATCACTGTCTGGGTGTCCACCAAGCCCTGCTGAGCATGAATGTTATTTTCGGACTGGTGGGAAGAGCTGTTTAGGATCCAACCAGCCCAGGCGCCCCAGTCTACTGGGAGACGGGAGTGAGAACGTATCATTGCAGACTGCCGTAGGATCCAGGCTGCCAAGACACTGGCCGGGTAGCCTGCCGATATGCGCTTTCCATCCCTGCGCGGAGCAAGGCCATTGTCTGGGTCAGGTTGTCAGGTCTTCCTTATAGGCCAGATAATTGGGAATGCACTGGGAATGCCAGACTGTTGAGGTTGCACAAGCTCTTGCTGTAGTCCACCGGGGTCGGGTCTCTGTGAGGGTGTGGAATGCTATCCATACCCAGCCAGCCTTTGTCACCATCAACGGTTGGCCCGAGTTACATCGGTAAGCCCCCAACAGGTGAGAGAAGGCGGGGAAGTCTGTTTCAGCCAAGTAAGCTCTGCGGTGGTTCATGTGGCCATCATGCAAGTGCTGGACCATCTTACAGGGGAGTCTTTAAGGGGGGAGGCTTGGAGGAGTGTCAGCAACACCAGCTCCAAGGCTTCCTGGCTAAATGGCAGTATGTGTTTTCCACCCACGATGAGGACTATGGATGTACTAACATATGTACTATGCACTAGTTAGACATTAGATCCCCACGGGCGATGCAGCACTGGATAACACAGTAAGCGGTCTCATCCAGTGCCACCTACACTCTATTCGGTGGTCCGTACTTTTTTGAGGGGGATGTTAGACGGAGGCATTATTCACGAGAGTAATACCTGGAGACTTTGTGTCGATTATCGGATGCTGAACAGTGTGACCAAGAAAGATGCTTTTCCTCTGCCGCGAATAGAAGACTCTCTCACTAGCTTGACACAGGTTGCTTGGTATTCAACTTTAGACCTGGCCAGTGGGTACTGGCAGGTCCAAGTAGAAGAGGTGGATCGAAAGAAAACAGCCTTCACCACCCCTTTTGGGCTTTTTGAGTGGGACAGGATGCCTTTTGGCCTTAGCAATGCCCCAGCAACCTTCCAGCGGTTGGTGCAACGGTGTCTGAGTGGGCAGTTGGTTGATTCCATGCTGGTATACTTGGGATGATGTTAATTATTTTCTCCCCAGACTTCACCTCTCATTTTTATCATCTGGAACAAGTGCTCCAGGCCATGGAGAAGAATGTTTTGAAGTTGCGACCTGACAAGTGTCAACTGTTCCGGAAGGAAGTAAAGTTTCTTGGCCACTGTGTTAGTTCTGAAGGTGCTTTCCCCGATCCAGAGAAAGTGTCAGCAGTGCAAGAGGGGGAACCTCCCAAGACTGTCCGACAAGTGAGGTCTTTCCTGGGTTTGGTGGGATGTTACAGGTGCTTTATTAAGGACTACAGGTGCTTTATTAAGGACTTCTCAAAAATTGCTAAGCCTCGTGGCCCAACTCCTGAACCAACTCCTCGTGGGCACTAGGCGCTCTCGTAGGCTTGGACTCTGAGAGTGATGCAGCTGTACTGTCGCTATCCTTCTGCTGTATGAGCCTCTGCTGGAGAGAACGAGAAATTGCAGTGCTGACCCTAGCCTCCTGCTGTCTCAGCCTCTGCTGGAGAGGACAAGAAGCTGCTGTGCTGACGCTATCCTTCTGCTGTCCGAGCCTCTGCTGGAGAGAACAAGAAGCTGCTGTGCTGACGCTGACCTTCTGCTGTCTGAGCCTCTGCTGGAGAGAACGAGAAGCTGCTGTGCTGACGCTATCCTTCTGCTGTTCAAGCCTCTGCTGGAGATGACAAGTTGCTGTGCTAACTGTTGGCTGTGCTGCTGTTGGTGTAATTCTCCTGGGAGAAATTGCTCACTTTAAAGACTCTTTTAATAATTTAATAAATATCGTTTTGAATTTATTCTTTGTCCTGACATCTTTGAGGGAATACTGCTTGCTCCTCAGGCTGGTTTGCAATTTAGGAGAGGCGGCAAATGGCAGTGCAAGGGAGTCCATGTTTTTTGCATGTTCTTCTCTTTATGCCACAGTCTTTCTTACAACTACAGCAGACTACATCTAGTATTTCTGGTGGTGCCACAGGCTGATCGGTCATTATTGGCAAAACTCCCCCATACAAAACATGCCACCCCCCGTCTTTTGGGTCCATAGGTTCACTATCCCCCTTTCCACACCATCATTTGTTAAAAAGACCCGAAGACTATGGAACTTTGCAGATGTTGACGTTGGAGGGAGAGTTTGAGGATCCACTGGAGATGAGTTCGGGGTCACTTTTCAGTCACTATTCAGAATATAGGTGGGGCCACGGGTCGGCACATTCCCGGGATGGGCCGGCTGCGTCTCCATCCATTGTTTCGTCCATGGTTTGGTCTCTTATCTAAATCTGACCATGGAGTTGACTTTGGTGGAAAGCTGAAGGTGATTGCTAATATCAGACCACGTCTCAATGAAACATTGTCTAGAAACCACATGTTCATTTTCTCGTGTTTGAGGGTGGTTTATGAATGCCCGGAGCCGTATTATCGGGTCAATGGTACCAGATGACGTATGTAGAGCGGCAGAAAATTAGACGAGGAAAAAGACGATGGGTCAGAGATTTAGGAGATTTAAAGTACAACTTCAAATAATAGCGAGTCCCAAATAGTCTGTCTCTTTTACACGCCTGGGGTGGCTGCAGGTTTGGGTAAATAAAAGCCGGTCTCAAATAGAGGCCAGGTCTGTTTTTTAGTTTCGGGTTGTTAATCTTCTAAAACCGTCAGATCGTCCGCTTTTTGGCATCTGCCAAAGCAAATTTTTGTCCCGCCAAAGCCTATTTTGATCGGTGAGTGATGTAGAATAGAAACTGCTGCGCTTGATAGGGCACATAAGGAGCAGAGAGAGTGCACTGGACTTGCGCGCACTCTCACGTCTTCAAACAGCATGAGCGCTGTCTTGTTCTCTCTCCCTCGCGCATAATCAAATCAATTGACACAATAGTAAAAGGTTGGAAGACCGCAGTTTCAGGTGGAGCATTTGGAGATTTTTAGAGATTATAGACTCAATGAACAACATCTCAACACTAAATTATAAAGGCCGGTTTCATATAGACGCTTGTCTCAAATACAAGCCGGTGCAGTTCGATGATTTGGGAAAATAAGAGCCCGGGCTATTATTTTAAGTTTTACAGTATGTATGTATACACAAAGACTGTATCAAAAGGTAACTTCGCGTCCACTGCCAAGATGGATCCATAGAGATACACAAACTGCCTCGGTGTTGCATAGACATCGTCATCGTCTTGCCGCTCCCTCCCCGTTCTGTGGTTCCCTAGCTCAGGCGAAAATTTGGTTCATGGTGTCTAGGCTGCCTAGCAGCGTGAATAAAATCGCGCTGTGGCAAAACAGCATGGGGAAATCCAGGCTAGGCGCTTGCACAATCCAATCACGTTTGAGAGGGAAACAACAAATTGAGGGTTTCCGAGATTTTTCTAATTTTAATTTTTTTTAGAAGTAGTAATGGGTGCTCACGGTTATGGATAGAAATGTATTGGAGTAAAGAGTACAATATTTCCCTCTCAATTGTACTTGAGTAAAGTCAAGAGTACTCCCCAAAAATGATCCTCAAGTAAAGTACAGACCCCTCAAAATTGTACTTAAGTACTGTACTAAAGTAAATGTACTCTGATACTGTCCGGCTCTGCTAACTACATACATTTTTGTTTTACAAGATAAAATTTTACAATGTAAAACAAAAAGGTTACTTTTCATGTATACTTTCACTGTCATTGTTCTCTGAGGTTTAATTGTGAGTTTTATAGGAGTAAAGGAAAAAAATAAGCCTATAGGGTGTATTTTGGGCATATTCAATTAGTAAATTGCTCATTTGCATATTCAAATTCATTTCCAAAGAAACTTCTAATACAAAATGTTTTACTTTTCTTGTAGACTTTCATTGTGTAAAGTTTTATTGTGGTAGGAGTAAAGGAAAAAAATAAGCCTATTTGGGTGTATTTTGGGCATATTCGATTAGTGTATAGCTCATTTGCATAATAAAATTCATTTTCAAAGAAACTTGTAATACAAAATTTGTTATTTTCCATGGATACTTTCATTGTATAAAGTTTTATTTAAAATAACCCCATTGGGGTGTATTGTTGTCTGGCCTTACTGGCACACATCTTGGATTGATGCGAATTAAACATATTTCCTCAACTAGGATTTCTTAGGACTTTTAGTATGTTGTTCTGGACACCTCATAGAAATTATCTATGCTGAAAAAAAATCTTTTACAATTAGTTCTATTTTTGGCTCCAAAATGGGCTACTTTGCCAGGACTATCTTGGTTTTGGAACAAAGACATTATGTGCTGTTCATATTAGGATTATCACTGATAACAATATATGATATATACAACAGTAAATAACTAATTTACCATTATACTGTTTTAAATACTGTAGCTCATTTACCATTATACTGTTTTATATACTGTGGCTCATTTACCTTTATACTGTTTTCTCCAGGCAGTATGTCATACCTAATGGAATTGGGAACCTGAGAGAAATATACAATGGATCCCTGGACAATTTCATTCTCCCCCAGTAACTTCCCCCGTAATCTGTCTGGATTCCCCATCTATGATGGCATTTTTCTTGACAACATATCCGAAGAAGGCCCGAGAAATGAGACCGACCAGAGCTTGACCAAAACTAACACAGTCGTCATCACCTTCATGTATTTTGTGGTATGTGCTATTGGTCTTTGTGGAAATGCTCTGGTCATCTATGTCATCCTGCGCTATGCCAAGATGAAGACGGTTACAAATATCTACATCCTGAACTTGGCAGTGGCAGATGTTCTGTTCATGCTAGGTTTGCCATTCATCGCTATCCAGTTAGCGCTGGTGCACTGGCCATTTGGGGAAGCTCTGTGCCGCGTGGTCATGACTGTAGATTCTCTCAATCAGTTCACCAGTATTTTCTGTCTGATGGTGATGAGCATTGATCGATACCTGGCTGTGGTGCACCCGATTAAGTCGACCAAATGGAGGAAGCCACATGTCGCAAAAGCCATCAACCTGGCCGTGTGGGTTGTGTCGCTCATCGTCAACCTTCCGATTATAATCTACAGTGGACTGATCACCCAACCTGATGGCTGCTTCTGCACTATTGTGTGGCCAGAGCCGCAGGAGGCCTACTACACCGCCTTCATGTTCTACACTTCCTTCCTGGGTTTCTTCCTACCTCTAGTGGTCATAAGTCTATGCTATTTGTTAATTATCATCAAGGTAAAGTCTTCAGGAATCAGGGTGTGCTCTAGCAAACGAAAGCGCTCTGAAAAGAAGGTGACGCGTATGGTGTCCGTTGTGGTCGCCGTCTTCGTGTTTTGCTGGCTGCCTTTCTACATCTTCAATGTGACATCAGTTACAGGCACCATTAGCACTACGCCTTTCATAAGGAGCATGTTTGCTTTTGTCGTGGTGCTGGGATACGCCAATAGCTGTGCCAACCCGATATTATACGCGTTCCTGTCAGAGAACTTCAAAAAAAGTTTCCAGAATGTTCTGTGCTTGAAAAAAGCCATTGGTTTGGATGATGTTGAATGCACTGACAGCAAACAGAGGTCACAAATAACGAATGATCCAAAAGAAACTAAAAACGCACTGCTAAATGGAGACCTGCAAACCAAGGGTCAGAAAAAACAAGGGTCACTACTCAGCAAACTATGAACTGTTTGCCACAGCACACATGGAATACACAAAGAGAATAAGAGGAAACACAGAGTGCCCACAGTGATGGCTTAGTTTCTGTAAATTAAATTTACATATTTAAATCGGATAACTTGCCTGTTTTTGGTTACCATCAAATATTTTCATTGGTTAACACCTGCAAAAAAAAATGCATTGTTGATAATTGTTTCTCTGAAGCTGTTATTTATGAAGTATATTTATGGAGTTCTTAAGCAAACCATGGTCGTAAGAACAGGAGGACTAAGGAGTTCTACAGTGTCATTGTATTTAAAGAGAACTTAATCATCTTTCATTTATGTTTTATCTATGGAGACAAAATCATAGTGTCAGTAGCAAACAACAATGAAACCATATATTTTTCATTGCACTGTAAAATATGCCTTGTGGGAGTTTTAATTGTATTTTTGTTGTTTTTCTCTACTCATGTATGTAGAATTTGGAAAGTATAGCACACAAGATGCTGCTAGACTGTAAGATGAACTGTAAGATGTGTCACTCTATTGTTGCATTGTAAACATGTAAATATTATTTTCTGGAGTTCGACATCGAACTATTCTGACTGCTATTCATTTAGCCAAAAATAGTGCCAATGGTCTCTCTCATAATTTTTGTAATGTAATCTAATGGGAATCAGTTTGATCACTAAATTCTCTGGCAGCAAGGATTCTGGTCTCTATCCCAATGAATCAACATACTTTAAAGCTCAGACAGTCATCTAGAGAGATCTCAGAGATTTTCCACATTTTAATAGAATGTCTATTTGAAAATGGTTAGAACGTTTGTCTTTACTGTATGTTCCTTCTGAGATCAGGCAGGGATACATGTATCATGATCGTGGATGAACTCATTCATTCAGACCAGTTGAATTCAGTACTTTAAAACATATCATGCCTTCTTTACTTGCGAACTAGTATTGATTGTTTACACTTTGATTGGCACACATAGAAACATGTCTAACAAATATTTGGTTATAATCTTTACCATTGCAAAAGGCTTTATTCGAGTCACTTCCACCCTTCAGAACTGCAGAACCATACGTCATAGCAGTGTGAGGACGACAGTGCCAGCCTAACAGTCTGATGCCGGAAGTGGGCACGGCAAGGCATTGCGCTACTTCCATGTTTTGGAATGTTTTAAAGTTTAAAACAACGCTACTTTTAAGACTGGAAAACTGGGAACTGGATGAAGAAACAAAGGACCTTACTTGCAAATTAACATTTGAACACCTCTCTCTCACACACACACACACACACACACACACTCCTTCTCCGCATCCTCCACTCTTGTAGAGATCACCCAAACTCACAAGAATTTATATGGTTTTAATTTGAACAACTATCATAAAGGTTTACACGTGTTTAGTATTATTTGATAGCCTGGATGCCAGCCCGAACCCCACCCACAACATTTTTTGCTCGGGAAGTTCGGTCTGAACTCGATCCATTTAGGAGTAATTATGATCTGTCAAAAAATGAACGGGCCAATCAAATTGCCAGGGCGGGCTTTATACGATGATGGACAGATGATCTGCAGGGACGTAATCATCACGTTATCAAAGAGCGCTAACTGATTTCCCTCAGAGATGACTGCAGCTGGAGAATTGAGATGTACAGATTCCGCTGTTGCGTCTGTTGTAAAATAAATCGACAGCGCATTCATTTTAATAGACAAACAGAAAACTGCAATCAAGGCATTTGTCGATCGGAAAAATATTTTTGCCGTCCTTCCTACATGATTCGGGAAAAGTGTAACTTATCAGCTGGCTCTGACGGTCATAATGAAAAGCCTGTGGTTGTTGTAGTTTCTGTAGTTGGTTAAGTTTAGGGGCGGGATAAGGGGTAGGTCATTCGTACGAATTCATACGAATTGGCCAATTCGTAAAATATGTACGATTTAGCAAAATCGTATTAATTCGTACGAGTGAGGTCGTATGAATTGTTACGAATTAGCCACTTTTTAATCATTCGTCGAATTCGTACGACTTGGTCGTGAGATCGGGTTGTATCAGACTCACATCATAATTGAAATGGCTCAGTGCGAATGGTACAAGTGTTCTATTTCCAAATAAGTAAAACAAAAGGTAATAAGGTTTTTAAGAGTTTAGGAATAACTGGCACACAAAGGAATGTGGTCTCTACTTCCAAAAAGAGAACACAGTAAATTTCCATGTTCTACAAACTCATGTTTTACATAAATGAGGTCTCGCTATATAAGGAAAATGCAACAAGAGTTCAGGGCTCTTTTCTGTATTCAGATTAGCCCGTGTGATTGAGGGTCTCGCGACTCTTAGCTCATGTAGCATACAATGTCAGGATTTTGCTCTTTGTTCTAGAACATTTGATGGTTTGCATTATCTTTCAATTGATCATGGACTTGTAATAAAACATTTACCTCACATAATAAATTCTTATATTTGATTATTCTAACAGACTTTGCCTTTATTTTCATTAGAGTTAAAAGGAATGGTCAAACATTAACATATATTTACTGATGCACAGATATCATTAAAAACCTTTTCATTTTATGGAGTTAGATGAAACCAGTTAATACATGAGATAAAATGTATTGCATTTAATTAAAAATCCTTTTGCCATGGGAAGAGACAGAACACGCGTGAGACCTTCGCCTCTAATTGAGTACCACCATTGGATCGATTTAGCAGGCCTTATATATATATATATATATATATATATATATATATATATATATATATATACACACACACACACATATGTAAGGAATGGGGAGCCAAACAGGAAATAATAATTGTAATTCTGAATATATAGTTAAAACTCCGAATATATAAATGAAATCGAGAATATATAGTTATAACTCTGAATATATAAATGTAATCCTGAATATATAGTTATAACTCTGAATATATAAATGTAAATCCTGAATATATAGTTATAACTCTGAATATATAAATGTAATCCTGAATATATAGTTATAACTCTGAATATATAAATGTAAATCTGAATATATAGTTATAACTCTGAATATATAAATGTAAATCCTGAATATATAGTTATAACTCAGCATGTTTATTTATAAGCAACATTTCATACACAATGGCAATTCAAAGTGCTTTACATAGAAGAAATTAAAATAATCAAAAGAAATCAGAATAATTAAAACAGTTTAGAATAAAAAATAAGAAATAATGAAAAATAAAAATTATGATAAAAATAAAATACAGTAAATTAAAACCATTTAGAATAAAATGAAGTGCACAGTCAGACGAACAGTGGCACAGTGCTCATTCAGTAAATGCACAGCTAAACAGATGTGTTTTGAGTCTTGATTTGAATGTGACTACTGTAGAAGCACACCTGATCTCTTCTGGAAGCTGGTTCTGTGGCTGGCATAATAGCTAAAAGCAGACTCTCCATGCTTAGAGTGAACCCTCGGTATTTCTAGCTGATGTGATCCTAATGATCTGAGTGATCTGTTGGGTTTATATTCAGTTAGCATATCTGCAATATATTGAGGTCCTAACCCATTAAATGATTTATATAGCAGTAATAATACTTTAAAATCAATCCTAAATGTAACTGGCAGCCAGTGTAAAGACCTGAGGACTGGTGTGATGTGTTCATATTTTCTGGTCCTGCTCAGAGTCCTGGCAGCAGCGTTCTGTATGAGCTGCAACTGTCTTATAGTCTTTTTAGGAAGGCCAGTGAGGAGGCCATTACAGTAATCCACCCTGCTGGTGATGAAAGCATGCACAAGTTTCTCTAAGTCTTGACTGGAAACAAAGCATCTAATTCTTGCAATATTTTTCAGATGATAGTATGCTGATTTTGTTATTGCTTTGACATGACTATTGAAACTAAGGTCTGACTCTAGAGACACACCAAGATTCCTGACTTGATTTTTAGTTGTTAGACCCCTAGCGTCAAGGTATGCATTCACCTTGAGAACTTCATCTTTGTTTCCAAACGCAATAACTTCAGTTTTTTCTTTGTTTAACTGCAGAAAGTTTTGACACATCCAACCGTTTACTTCATCAATGCATTGGCACAGGGAGTCAATAGGCCTTATTCAGAGCAGCGCCATGACAGGTATGAAAGTGAGGCTGTGAGGGATAGACGTACCGTGTTTCCAATGGCATCCGCTGTAAAAAGCTGAATAAAGCGGCTAGATTACTTACAATTTTCCACAGCTTACATTGTCGGGAGTTTTTTGTCAACTGAAATTTCTTGGAAAGATATTTTTCCAGTGTTTTATAAGCAGAACAATCCGAAAACACAATAAATAACAGTACAGCCCATTGAAGAGATGCAGCTCTATCCCTCACAGCCTCGCTTTCATTCTCATTAAAAATCAAAGATGGCGCTGCCGTGAATAAGGCGTATGGGGCTGTAGTCGTTAGGCGAAAGGGCTAAGTAGAGCTGTGTGCAACCCAGTCTCATAAAAATGTACCCTGACTACGTTGGTCCAAAGTGCAAAACGTAGAGGGGTTACAATAATGGCCCTTAAATTGTATGACTGTTACATTTTTTTTTTGTTTATTCTTCTACAATAGAGGGAATGCGCGTGACGTCACCGTCGGCCGGCGTGCCTGCAGTTCCTCACAGTGAGTGGCAAAAAGACTGAGACTGTCAATGCCGCGAAAAACAAACACAACACACACAAATAAAGTGGGAAAGAGATTTGCGATTGACTGTAGGCCTAACTAGATTTGACAAAACATCGGAGGTATATTTTTACAGACTGCTATGGAAAGAGGAGCAAATGGATCGCAGCAATTCACAGAAACAACTGGAATCCAGTCAGCGAAAGGTGGATTTGCAGTTATCATTTTGTGTCAATATGCTGAATTTAGCTGTAAAACCATACCCATATATTTTGTATTGTTATATACATTAACAGCTCATCAATTAAATATTTATCATTGCATATTCTGCATTATTGGATGTTTTTTTAATAAACACTGACCAAAAAAACGTATAAAGTTTTAGGGCTGGACGATATGATATTTATATAACTGTTATAGGCTATACATAACACTGATATAAGTGATCACCCAGATTTAGACCTACCTATATTGTATTTATATAAAGCGTTCACAGGCAAATTTGCTTTATGTTTAGGTCTTGCTTTTATTTCCCCGGTGTCGAAATCAGGCAATAAATGTCAGGCAACACGATTCCTGGCTGCATGTCAATATCTATGGATCACTGGATCTTTAGTAAGTTGTAAGGAACACTATATTGAGTCCAACATTTAGTTTAAATTGATAAAATTGTTCGATTTAGTCGCATTTCCGCAGTTTTCCCCAATTAAATCCAGTCACGCAGCAGATCTTTTGCCACTCGGTCAGGCTGAGGGGGGGGTGTCACGTGGGAAAGTCACGTGTCAATGCATTCCCTCTATTGTTTTCCGTCAGAGTCACGTGACTTTCAAGATTCCGGCTGTGAGAACAAAAAACATGGCGGACATTTCTTTCATGTTTAATGAAAAAAACTATATTTTCAGTTGGTTTCTGCATAAAAAACAAGTTTTGATTAAATTTCTAGCGAGAAATATATATTTTATTTTCATAATATCCACTCAGTGAGTGTACATAATCACCTGTTTGCTCGTTACTGCAAATATTTTTCAGATCTCGCCAGAATAATGTGAAACTGAAACGTTTTGGTTGCTATAACATGGATGCTGCTATCTGCATATTTTGACTTAGTTTCTGCATAAAAATAAGTTTTGATTACATTTCTAGCGCGGAATATATATTTTATTTTCATAATATTCACTCAGTCAATGTATATAATCACTGGCTTGCTCGTTGCGAATATTTTTCAGATCTCGCCAGAATGTGAAACTGAAACGTTTTGCTTGCTAAGTCGGCCATTTTGAATTTGGCGCCCATTTTGGGGCGATTTACACACTCCGTACTTTAACGAACTCCTCCTAGGGATTTAGTCGGATCAACTTCAAATTTCTGCTGTGCCTTCTAAAGGCATTGACGATGTAAAGTTGTGCTATCTGAGCGTTTTCGTCGATGGGCGTGTCCGTGGAGTCGATGATTCGCCATGGAAGTTGTAGTAACTTGGCTGTAAATGCCCAGATCTGCATGAAATTTTACACATTTGACAAGAGTCCCACCTTCAACAAATCTACATGCCGACATTCACCCACAGTAATAGCACCACCTGCTGGCAACAGGAAGTGACCTTTAACGAAGTAGCCACCCGCCGCATGTTTGACCGACATGTACGAAATTTCTGTGGTACATCTACCATGGCCACACGCACAGAAAAGTCTCTTGGAGCGATGCCCTAAACTCAACAGGAAGTCGGCCATTTTGAATTTTACCGCCATTTTTGGATGATTTACTCATTACGTACTTTAACTAACTCCTCCTAGGGATTTAGTTGGATCGACTTCAAATTTCTGCTGTGCCTTCTAAAGGCATTGATGATGTAAAGTTGTGCTATCTGCGCATTTTCGTCGATGGGCGTGTCCGTGGCGTCGAAGATTCGCCATGAAACAGGAATTTCTAGTAACTTGGCTGTAAATGCACAGATCTGCACGAAATTTTACACATTTGACAAGAGTCCCGCCTTGAACAAATCTACATGACGACATTCACCCACAGTCACAGCGCCACCTAGTGGCAACAGGAAGTGACCTTTAACGAAGCAGCCCCCGTCGCATGTTTGACCGACATATATGAAATTTCTGTGGTACATCTACCATGTCCAGACACACAGAAAAGTCTCTTGGAGCGATGCCCTAAACTCAACAGGAAGTGGGCCATTTCTAATTTTACCGCCATTTTTGGATGATTTACTCATTACGTACTTTAACGAACTCCTCTTAGGGCTTTATTCGGATCGACTTCACATTTCTGCTGTGCCTTCTAAAGGCATTGATGATGTAAAGTTGTGCTCTTCACATGACTTCAAGAAGGATGGGGAGTGGGTAGTTGTAAAGTTCTGGATCAAGTTCACAGTAGGTGGCGGTAATGCGCAAAATCGATGCGAATCGTGAAGAAGAAAAAGAAGAAGAAGAAGGCAGGAAAAGGTAAACATTAACAAGGAGGAAAAGGAAGCGTGGATAACTTGACCAAGCTAAAAAAATGATGCCATATTCCTGGTTGATGCGTTCCTGGACGAGTGCAAGGTAAATAACAGGTAACACTTTATTTTGATAGTCCACTTTAGACATTCTACTAACTATAAGTAACTTTGCCGCTACATGTCAACTAACTATCATTAGAGTACTGGTAGACTGTCAGCTTAATATCTGCTAACACTTTATTTTGTTGCTCCCCCAACAGACATTCAACTGACTGTAAGTAACTTAGCAACTACAAGTCAACCTGTTTTCCTAACCTGAACCCTTACACCTAACCCTAACCTAACAGTCTACTGACAGTCTACTACAGTCTACTAATACTCTAATGACACTTAGTTGACATGTAGTTGAAAAGTTACTTATAGTTAGTAGAATGTCTAAAGTGACTATCGAAATAAAGTGTAACCAAATAACATTATCTCAGTGGTGGAAAAGCATACTAATTAATGCTAATTGCAAGGTCTAAGACCATAATTGTCACATCGGGTCAGGAACGAGACAGAAAGCAAATCCAATCGCAAGCATTTATTAATCCCACTAACAGATAATCCAGGAACCTCAGAACAGGGCAGAGAAACAGGCAGGAACCGAGTGACATTTAGACAACAACCGACAACCAACAACTGAAACACAGGGGTATAAATACACAGACAAACAAGCTAATCAAGCTAACAAGGGGGTGTGGTAAATAAGAAACACCTGTGGACACTGAGCAAAATCATAACAAAAGACAAGACACATGGCAGGATCACATGACAAACAAGGAAACACGTGATACACGAAGCAAAACAAAACCCACAACGTGACATAGCCTCCCCCCTATGGGCGGCTCCCGACGCCCCTAGTGTAACACCCAAAACAAAACCCAAAACACAAGTTCAGGAGAGTGGTGACGCGGAGGTGGTCCTGGGGGAGGGAAGGAGGGCCAAGTCTGTGCAGGGGAACAGGACCAGACTTGGAGCAGGCGACCAGGCGAAGGCCAGGGCGGAGCAGGACCAGGCGAAGGCCAGGGCGGAGCAGGACCCTCAAACGTCCAAGGCGAGTCAAACTGTGGGCATGACCAGGGCAGAGTAGACTGTGGACGTGACCAGGGCGGAGAAGGTCCCTCAGGCGGCCACGGCGGTGAAGACCCCTCAGGCGGCCACGGCGGTGAAGACCCCTCAGGCGGCCACGGCGGTGAAGACCCCTCAGGCGGCCACGGCGGTGAAGACCCCTCAGGCGGCCACGGCGGTGAAGACCCCTCGGGCGGCCACGGCGGAGCAGGATGAGATAAAGGCCATGTCTGTATCGCCTCCATGGCCCTCACAAGGTACCTACTGCCCCCCCCAAAAAAATACTTGGAGAAGTCCACAGGGAGTTGAAGGGCACAGCTTGAACAGAGCTTGAAGGACACCGGCAGGACAAGGCGCGGAGGCGGGGCCGGCAGGGCGAGGCGCAGAGGCGAGGCCGGCAGGGCGAGGCGCAGAGGCGGGGCCGGCAGGGCGAGGCGCAGAGGCGGGGCCGGCAGGGCGAGGCGCAGAGGCGAGGCCGGCAGGGCGAGGCGCAGAGGCGGGGCCGGCAGGGCGAGGCGCAGAGGCGGGGCCGGCAGGGCGAGGCGCAGAGGCGGGGCCGGCAAGGCGAGGCGCAGAGGCGGGGCCGGCAAGGCGAGGCGCAGAGGCGGGACCGGCAGGTCGAGGCGCAGAGACGGGGCCGGCAGGGCGAGGCGCAGAGGCGGGGCCGGCAGGGCGAGGCGCAGAGGCGGGACCGGCAGGGTGAGGCATCCTGGTATGCTCACCGAAGCCTGGCGAACCGAACGAGCCCTCCTTTTCCTCCTGCGGCGGTGTTTCACTTGAACTGAAGACTTAATCACATGAACTGAAGACTCATCGTGACTCACTTGAACCGGATACTCATAATCACTCACTTGAACAGGAGATTCATCACCCGTGAGGCTTGAGTGAAGTGCAGGCTCGACAGGGCTGACGGGGAGCGCAGGCTCGGCAGGGCTGACGGTGAGCGCGGGCCCGGCAGGGCTGACGGTGAGCGCGGGCTCGGCAGGGCTGACGGTGAACTTTGGCATGAAACTCTCTTCACAAACGGAGATCGCCTCTCTCCAGTTCAGACCCGATAGATTGGGGAGCTCCCTCGGGTTGACCTCCTTAGCCCCTAGCTGGTAACACAGCTTAATAGCCTCATCACCGAGAGAGCAGGAGGCAGCGAGAGGAACAAACCCCCAGGTATACTGGAACAAATCACAGCTATTCAGGGTCAAGGCCGCGATCTGACCAGCAAACTACCGGATTTGTGCTGCTGGATTCATTTGCGGTCGGTTGTTCTGTCACATCGGGTCAGGAACGAGACAGAAAGCAAATCCAATCGCAAGCATTTATTAATCCCACTAACAGATAATCCAGGAACCTCAGAACAGGGCAGAGAAACAGGCAGGAACCGAGTGACATTTAGACAACAACCGACAACCAACAACTGAAACACAGGGGTATAAATACACAGACAAACAAGCTAATCAAGCTAACAAGGGGGTGTGGTAAATAAGAAACACCTGTGGACACTGAGCAAAATCATAACAAAAGACAAGACACATGGCAGGATCACATGACAAACAAGGAAACACGTGATACACGAAGCAAAACAAAACCCACAACGTGACAATAATAGACTCTGACTGAGGTATTGCAGGGAAGGTGCAAAATTAAAAACACTCCAAGCAAAGTGCAACTATACAGGTTCATTGTCTTTATTCAAATGCAAGCTATAGTGCTGAGCTGATTTCCTACATTAGAGCCAGTGAGAGTTTAATTAAATATTATGTAAAAACGTCTCACTTTCTTTTGTTCTTTTTTTTTTTCAATGTAGAAAGGGTTTTCTAGATCTGTCTGTACAGTCCAGGACCACGACCGTTAGACTGAATTTTTACAATGTAATATTTATTATAACATTGGTTTTATAATGGGATTGTACGTAGCAATAACCTTAGTGGGTGGAGGTTTATTCTGTGGCTCAATTGTTTATTTAGGTGGATCATCATGGACACACTGAAGGAGGGTCAAAACAATCAACAAAGCTGTGCGTTTGGCTTGATGAGGACAATGGTCAACCTCTGCCAAAAAGACGTAGAGCTGGGGAGAGACGAAAGCGAAATTCAGCTAACGTTACTGGTTGGTTTTTTGATTTTTTTTTAGTTTTTTCATCAGTAGTTGCATTCATTATTAATTAAGCAAGTTCTAAATGGATATTCATATTTTTGCAGTTTCTTCAGCAAGCGCCACACCCTCCTGTGCTCCATCAACCAGCACAACTGAGACACTACAAGACACTGTGACCATCGAAAATTTAGTTTTTTTCCCCTTTATACTTGTTTCCTCATTTGTTATGTGTTAATTGCCCAGATTTACCATTGCCTTCTTCCCTTTTCATTTTTAGACTCCCTCATTCAAGAGGTCAGAGACCTCTTGGGAAATGGTGCTGAACAACCTCTCCCCTCACTTTGGAGGGACAGGCAAACTTCCTCTCTGGAAAATTGGACAGTATTAAGGCCCTTCATGGTGAACAATATGTTGTCATCAGAGAAGCCGAAGGAGGGGGTTTGCCATCATTGTGGACACAAGGCTGCAGTAGTGATGTGTAGAGACTGTTTACCACGATCACTCTACTGCACAGCCTGTGACCTTTCCACACATGAGGCCCTGGTGCTTCATAACAGAGCATCCATGGTGGAGGGGTTCTTCAGACACCCGCCACCATCCACTTTTGTTCAGCAGGATGAAGGAGGGAAATTCTCCTATTATGAAAAAGGTTTTTTTTTTTTTTGAATCTCAGGTTATATACACTCACCTAAATTATTATTAGGAACACCAGTTCAATTTCTCTTTAATGCAATTATCTAATCAACCAATGACATGGCAGTTGCTTCAATGCATTTAGGGGTGTGATCCTGGTCAAGACAATGTCCTGAACTCCAAACTGAATGTCAGAATGGGAAAGAAAGGTGATCTAGGCAATTTTGAGCGTGGCATGGTTGTTGGTGCCAGACGGGCCGGTCTGAGTATTTCACAATCTGCTCAGTTACTGGGATTTTCACGCACAACCATTTCTAGGGTTTACAAAGAATGGTGTGGAAAGGGAAAAACATCCAGTATACTGCAGTCCTGTGGGCCAAAATGCCTTGTTGATGCTAGAGGTCAGAGGAGAACGGGCCGACTGATTCAAGCTGAAAGAAGAGAAACTTTGACTGAAATAACCACTCGTTACAACCGAGGTATTCAGCAAAGCATTTGTGAAGCCAGAACATGCTCAACCTTGAGGCGGATGGTACCACTCATCTCCACTACAAATAGGAAAAAGAGGCTACAATTTGCAAGAGCTCACCAAAATTGGACAGTTGAAGACTGGAAAAATGTTGCCTGGTCTGATGAGTCTCGATTTCCGTTGAGTCATTCAGATGGTAGAGTCAGAATTTGGCGTGAACAGAATGAGAACATGGATCCATCATGCCTTCCCAGATAGCAAAAATCATGCGGCCCAGATCTGGCCCAGAACCTTCATAAGTTCTGGGCCAGATCTGTAAAACGGACCCGGGCCGGTGTCCTTTAGCACAACGGGCCAATGCCGGTGCGGATCCGGTTTTCACATCTGGACCGGCACTGGCCCTGCTCCAGAACGGATGAGAATTATTTTAGTTATGTTGGCCCAAAGGTGGGCCAGATCTGGACCAGTTTCATACTGGATCCGGGCCAGATCTGGACAGGCACTGGGCCAGCTCCATTTATTAGTTCTGGCCCGGATTCACACCACCTCTGGCATCTGTCATAACCTTGATCTATACCACAAACCAAACCATATACAAAAATACAGATTTTTTCAGTTAAAGGGGTAGTTTAGTTTGTTTTAGATGTTGTGCATGATTCAGCTTGTACTATGGGTCCTAGTAATAGATATCAGTGAAGGTATACCATTTCTGTCTGAGAAGTGTAACAAATAATGACTTGTATATTTTCAAAGTACACTAAAGCTGATGATTCACAGAGCAACTTTTAGAGCAATTGTACTGGGCAATGTTGCCGTCAATTGTAATGAGTAAATATTACTACCGTAATCCCCTTCCCCCACCATCTTACGATTTCTTGTTTTACTTGCGTTTTCTTTTTTCTAGCATTTTAAACCCGATTACTTTTCTTTCTTGGAGCACAAAGCATGGACAGTCAAAGCTGTTACACAGACTGTTTCTATTTTTCCTGCATAGAATTTCAACAAAGAAAGTGATAGAACAGATGAGTGACACATTTAAAATTTTATTTAAAATACACATTTAAAATTTTATTTTAAAATGTCTAAAATAAAAAAGACAGGACAGAAACTTAAAACAAAGTAGATAATTGCCAAACTAAAAATCAGTCTAATAAAGACATTTCTACAGCTAATTTCTGTCTTGAAAAACTGTTGGAACAACCGTCACATAACGTCCAACAAACCATCATGGAAGAGTGTGGGATGGCTGATGCGTTCATTCCTGCAAAGTATAAAAAGAATGTAAGAACTCAATTGATAATGGCAATCACAAATTACATAAAAATCCACTGAGATTGGTAATATTAAAGGGGACTAGGCTGGAAGATTTGACCTAAAATCAAAATCCAGATTAAGAGAACATTTTACCACAATTACAACTAATGAATGATTATCTTGTACCGCAAACATGCTGTTCTAGTTGGGGTGTTTTTTGTAGTTAAATCTGTATCTGTATTGCATTTTCAAACTTCAAACAAAAATCATTATCAAAAATCAAAAAATATTAACAAGTTAATAGATGTTTTCTCTGGAAGTATGTTGGTTTGAGGTGAAAAAAGTTAGTCTGGAGCCCTGGTGGTCACACCAGTGTAACAGCGTGAGAAGATGGCCTCCATTGTAGTCAGCGCTCAGTTGGTTTAGTTTGTCATTTGCTAAGTGATCGTAATAAATAAACACATAGGCTTACACAATCCCTTTCGTCCTATAGATGCATCCTACAGAATATTTCTATCGTTCCCAGGACAGCCCTGAAAAAATATGTCACTGTTCCTACATACGTACTAAGTAGCTGCAATGCTATTAACAACAACTTGAAAAGTTAAACGCAAAACAAATGTTTCGGTAACACTTTACGGTAAGGGTACATGAATTATCATGAATTCATGTATAAGTTAATGCATGAATTATGCATTCATTCATGCATTAATATCTCATGAATCATCAGGAACTAACACAAGTTCAATGTTTTTCATTCATGACTTCATGAATGAACAACACCTTAATTAAAACATTAACTAAGATGAGCACATCATCGTGAATTATGATTTATTACGCATGATCATGATGTTTTCTTCGTTCACAGTTATGCCACCTTTCAATAGCACATTGTTCATCAGTGTTTCAAAGGACCTAGTCACCACTTTAGTTAAGGGGCCACACACATGATGAAGTCATTGATAGATAATGCTTAGTTAATGATGACTTCTGTATTTGATTTACAGAATGTGTGTGCTATGAGCTGTGATTGGTCTATTATGGTGTCTGTCCAATAGTCATCATTAACTAAGCATTAATCTATTAATGACTTCATCATGTGTGTGGCCCCTTAACTAAAGTGGTGACTAGGTCACTGACCTAGACAAAGAACAAAGAAAACATAATGATCATGCGTAATAAATCATAATTCATGTGCATATCTTACTTAATGTTTTAATTAAGGTGTTGTTCATTCATGAAGTCATGAATGAAAAACGTTGAACTTGTGTTAGTTCCTGATGATTCATGAGAAATAATGCATGAATGAATGCATAATTCATGCATTAATTTATACATGAATTCATGATAATTCATGTACCCTTACCGTAAAGTGTTACCAATGTTTCTACAAAAGACTAGCACAATGATTTATCTACAATTTACCATGGTTAATGCATCTCTGGCCATGGCACGTTCTTTGCGGCCACCTCTGCGGTCAGAGGCCGGGTTGAACCAGCGGATGGCGTGCTGGTTAATCTCGTTGTCCGATGCGCTGCTAGCAACTTGGTTCTTCCGTACAGCCTCTGTTAAGAGAGAAAGTCAATTGGTTGATGGGTACAAACTCTGAAAATTACCTCTGAGTCAAGCCAATAACCCACTGTTTTGAGAAAAGCTTTAGATGTTGCCCATATTTACTATTGTTGGTGTGGCAGAAGACCTAATTTTAGACTTTCATTTAGTAACTCAAAACAAATGAATAACTAATCACAACTAGATTGTATTGGATCATCCTTAAATCAACCTTTTCAAGAGGAAGTGATTATGTGAGTAACCAGTTCTGTCATGACTGCAATCTATTTCAGCACTGCTATCAAAGTTTTTTTTTTTTTTTCTTTAAAGTTGCATCCCTTATTATGCATTATTAGTAGTGTAAAACTAGTAAAATAGAAATATTCTTACTAGTAACATTTGTAAAGACACTGGGTCGGTTCTGATCAGGGGGGGGGGGGGGGAATTTGCATATCATAATTAATAATTGATAATTAATAATTATTCATACAGATTTGGATCAGACCGGTCTTACATGTTAATTTATTAATTTTACCCATATGCATACATGTGCATCCCCGCAATCAACCACAAATTAAGGTAACACTTTAGAATACGGTTCCTTCGTTAATAAATAACTAAACAAGAACTAATGAGTAACACAATATTAACAATCTAGTAACTATTATTAACTAACAAGAAACTCTGATTAACGAACTAGTAAGTAATAGCGCACGGATGAAAGTGGTAGTTCACTATTAAGTAATCAATAACTACTATTTTTTTAATACTTCCCAGAGAACTACTGAAAACGTTTATTAACAATCTAGTAACTACTATTAACTAAAATAAATTCTTATTAACGAATTAGTAAGTACTAGCTCACAGATGAAAGTGTTACTAGATACTTCTGTGGGAATTACTAATTATTTGGATCCGTATTATAAAGTGAAGATCATTGGAACTAACTAGTAATTACTCAAGTGTTACTAAAGACATTTTCTAAAAGTATACTAAAGTTCACCAAAAATCTCAAACGTTTGCACAAATCATGACAAGATCATGTAGTAACACTTGAGTAATTACTAGTTAGTTCCAATGATCTTCGCTTTATAATACGGATCCAAATAATTAGTAAGTAATAGCTCACAGATGAAAGTGTTACTAGATACTTCTGTGGGAATTACTAATTATTTGGATCCGTATTATAAAGTGAAGATTATTGGAACTAACTAGTAATTACTGAAGTGTTACTACATGATCTAGTCATGATTTGTGCAACCGTTTGAGATTTTTGGTGAACTTTAGTATACTTTTAGAAAATGTCTTTAGTAACACTTGAGTAATTACTAGTTAGTTCCAATGATCTTCACTTTATAATACGAATCCAAATAATTAGTAACTCCCACAGAAGTATCTAGTAACACTTTCATCTGTGAGCTATTACTTACTAATTCGTTAATAAGAATTTATTTTAGTTAATAGTAGTTACTAGATTGTTAATAAACTTTTTCAGTAGTTCTCTGGGAAGTATTAAAAAAATAGTAGTTATTGATTAGTTAATAGTGAACTACCACTTTCGTCTGTGCGCTATTACTTACTAGTTCATTAATCAGAGTTTCTTGTTAGTTAATAATAGTTACTAGATTGTTAATATTGTGTTACTCATTAGTTCTTGTGTAGTTATTCATTAACGAAGGAACCGTATTCTAAAGTGTTACCCAAATTAATTGTTATTGATTGCAAGGACCACGTTTTACAAGACAGGTAAAATCAATTAGCTCAATTAAATTATATAGCTTGTGAAAACAAATTCTGTGGCCACTAGAATCTGCCTTCCCTGCTATATAACCAAATACCCTCTTAGGTATTTATAGTTCTGTAAAGCGTGTAGCTTTAAATTGACATTTCATTGACCCGTATTATGAGCAAGACAATCAGTCAAGGTAAGCATATTTTGTATTTAATAAAGTTACTACTTAAGCATTCACTACGTTACAATGATACATGTATTTACAAACATTAAAACACAAACTAAGACGACGCAGAGCGTTTAGACAATGGATACGCGCAAGTTAAGTGAGTTGGAGAGAGAGAGAGAGTGAGAGAGAGAGTGAGTTGAGAGAGAGAGAGTTACGTTCATCAAAACAGTCAGTTAACCTTTCTGGACACCACAAAAACATTTTCTTAATGCTTCTTAGAAGCTCTAAAAGAAGGTATACTTGCAAGGCACATTTGGTCTGTGTGAGTCGTGGGCTCGTTGCTCGACCCGTTCGGGCCACGTGTCGGCTAGAGGTGCGCCGGTCTGGCGCGCGTGCGTCACGTGAAGCGCGGCCGCGGCATGTTTGCGCGGCCCGTCCCGGCTCGTTCATGGCTGCTTTGTTCCGTGGGGAGTCACGTGGCGTTCGTCGGCATTTAGCGCCAGTGTTTGAAAGGCTGAGAGTCTTTGAGGTGACGTTACCCGAGGAGATAGTTCGGCAAAGTCCACTTCCTTTCCTGGAAGACGAACTTGGTAGTCCACTTGAGGAAAAGATGAAACTTTTAGACGAACAAAAGGAAAGATCCATCGTTGGATCAGAGTCCCGTGAGGTTTACATGTTGAGCGCTGGAAAGTTCAGAAGAGAGCGAGGGCGGACCTGCGTTCTCACATTTATCACCTTGGAGAAATCCATCCCCTTCCTGTTGGCTTGAGCCAATCGGAGAGTGGATGTTGCACGCGGGAAGCTTTCTTTTGTTCCTCAGCACGCGCTTCTCGTGGAAGGGTGTGTGTTAAATGAGGGTTTTGCAATAGCAATTTGATCTTCATTGGCAGTAAAACGAATTAAAAATACACTTTACTTTACATCTCTATGCATATTCGAGTGCTTCATTCAATAAGCATTCTAGAGATATCAAGGAACATTATGTTATATCAAAGGAATATACACTTATGTTTCAAATGCATGACGAAGGTATTTTTAATTCCTATTTAAACTGGGACCAAACAAAGTTATTTCACTGTGACATGGGGAAGACACATATACATAAAAACCATTGAAAACATTTTGTTGAATGTTTTTAAACACCAAAAGTCCTTCTCTTTGTTCAAAAACATTCCACACATTCCGATGTGTGGGGGAAGTGAAAGGTTTGTGTGTGCGTGTATGTGTTTCAGAAATTCGCCTGGCCAAAATCCTTACACATTTGGAATAAATACTAGTATCTAATAAATAGGTACTAGTATCTATTGAATAAGTACTAGAATCTAATTAATAAGTACTAGTATCTAATAAATATGTACTAGTATCTAATGAATAAGTACTAGTATCTGATGAACAAGTACTACTAGTATGTATTTAATAGGTACTACTATGTAAAAAATAAGTACTAGTACCTAATGAATAACTACTAGTATCTAATGTATATGTACTAGTCACAATTGGAATACATACTAGTCAGAACTGAATAGTTGATATCTGAATGACAGATCCCCATAGAAGTCAATGGCAACAAAAGTCACAATATTTAGTCACAAAAGAATAGTCAGTCACTATCGCAATAAGTACTAGTATCTAATGAATAAGTACTAGTATCTAATGAATAAGTACTAGTATCAAATAATAAGTACTAGTATCTAATGAATAAATACTAGTATCTAATAAATAAGGATTAGTATCTAATGAATAAGTACTAGTATCTAATAAAAAAGAACTAGTATCTAAGTACTAGTATCTTTAAAAAGGTACTAGTACATAAAGAATCAACACTAGTAGCTATTGAATAAGTACTAGTACTTAATGGAATAGATACTAGTATCTAAAAAATAAGTAAGTTACTAGTAGCATGAAAATAGTTAGACTAGTAGGTTAAAATGATTAAATGTTAAGTGGCTTGCCATAACCCAAATAAATATCCAAAATGAATCAGGCACTGCTCAACCATAATACCACGGCGGGATTTCATACTAAGTCAACGAAAAGAAACGGAGAGATGCGTTTTCCCGCCCATAGACCTTATATTTGTCATAATTTGACAGTGAACTTAGTAAACAATTAATTTACACCTATGAATTAACGTTAACTTATAATTAATGTCAGATGAAAATTCTAATTTCTTCTAGCTTTGATTTTTAATACTTTACCTATCATAACTTCATAATGTTGTGCTTACCATAGCAGGATAAGGATTTAAAAAAAAAAAAATCAAAGTCGGAAAAAAATTGTCACGGGGTATGGTGCAGGGGTGCAGGAGTGCAGGTAGAAGGAGCGGGAGGAATCCAGATTAACATCAATATACGAATTTATTATAAACATACAGGCAGGAAGGCAGGGAAACAGGAGCAAACACTGGGTAACATCAAACATCAGAACAACATCGACCGACCAAGACAGACTGAATAAGATTGAACTAAATAGACAGAGGAATCAAACTAAATGGAGTGCAAACAGGTGAAAATGATGATGAACAGACGAGGAACAGGTGGCTGATGAGGGAGTGAGATCAGGAGAGGAAACAAAAGGATCCGGGGAAGCGTGGTGCAGATGACGGGACAAACAGGTGAAGACGAAGAGTGTGACAAAAATACTTTAGTTAACTTACCCTATTAATCCGGGGCTCTCGCAGCCAGGGGTGAAGAAAATATTGAACCTAAAAAGACAGGTGCTGTTAATTAACGTTAGTGCTGTTCAAAACTACGTATACAACATCATTGTAAGTTATCTAACGTTAAACAGCATTAATGTTTAAGCTAGCTACACACAAAGTTGTTTATTAATGCTAGCTTAGCTATCAGTTCATTCAGTTAACGTTACTGTTAATTTAGCTAACCCAGCTAAAAAGAGTACGTTAGCCAATCTTCTTCAATAGCCATCGTAAGAAGTTAAAACCCGGTCAAAACTTTCCGAAATGTTGATAACAAACATTACACCGCTATTAAAAACAAGCACACTAAACTGTTTGACTGTTTGATATCGTTCAACTTACCGTTATAAACCCTTTCCACGGAGCTTGCAGTCCGAAGATCCAAATGACCAACAGTTCAGGCGCTCGTTCCAACGGCCCCGGGCCAGAACAACAACGATTCCGCCGACTGACTTCTGATCTGGAATGAACCGGTAAAAAAAAAAAAAAGGAACCAATTCGCGCGCTCGTTCCGACGAGTCCGGGCCAGAACTAATATGATTCCGCCGACTGATTGATGTTCACGCCTACTCCCGATGTACACAGACTACATGCGGGCCTTATCTGGAATGGGGCAGTAAAACGGGGGTGACTGTTACACGGATCTGCCGGTTTGGAGGCGGATCCGGCCCAGAGTCAGCTGCTATCTGGGTTGTTACCACTGTGCAGGCTGGTGGTGGTGGTGTAATGGTGTGGGGGATGTTTTCTTGGCACACTTTAGGCCCCTTAGTGCCAATTGGGCATCATTTAAATGCCAAGGCCTACCTGACCATTGTTTCTGACCATGTCCATCCCTTTATGGCCACCGTGTCCCCATCCTCTGATGGCTACTTCCAGCAGCATAATGCAACGTCACAAAGCTCGAATAATTTCAAATTGGTTTCTTGAACATGACAATGAGTTGACTGTACTAAAATGGCCGCCACAGTCATCAGATCTCAACCCAATAGAGCATCTTTGGGATGTGGTGGAACGGGAGCTTCGTGCCCTGGATGTGCATCCCACAAATCTCCATCAACTGCAAGATGCTATCCTATCAATATGGGCCAACATTTCTAAAGAATGCTTTCAGCACCTTGTCGAATCAATGCCACGTAGAATTAAGGCAGTTCTGAAGGTGAAAGGGGGTCAAACACAGTATTAGAATGGTGTTCCTAATAATCCTTTAGGTGAGTGTAGGCTATTTTACATCTTACACAAACCCTGGTTTACTCCAACAAACAAGCTGGATGAAGTTTTGTTTGATACAAACAACAACCTCACTGTTTCATTTACACTAATATGTAAACTAATTCTGCTTTTTAGATTGCATGTTACCAATCGTTCCTCCCTGCTGCGACTGCTCCACTGGGCAAACAATCTTTTCCAGGGGAAAGCCAGTTATTTTAGTTGGAATGAATGGTAACTTTTTTTATTTCTTCATATTGTGTTTTTTGTTTCTCGCGAACAATAGATAATTGTTTTTCTCTGAAATTTCAGGAACATACAACCTATTCCTTCCATCAGTAAACTGCTCCTGTGGAAAAACCTTGCCAGTAACCATGAGTGATCTGGTTGAAAGTGGTTACTGGCCAGCCACTGTCAATTTTGAGACCTTGTACATGGTGGACTTGTTCACCACGTATGAAGATCTTAAAATCACTGCCCCAGGGATGTCAAGACAAGCTTTTGTCAGCATGCTTAAATGTGTCGTACAAAACTCTTTGGGCGAGTGAGTGGACTCATCATTTCTTATTTGGATTACGTTTTAAATAACTGTTTCATTGTTAGGACTTGTTCTTACAATCCCCAATGTTTCAGCACATATTTCTTGATGGAGCCCTTTCTTCGTCCTGACCATTGTCTGAAGCCAACTTTTCTTTTTTTCACTTTTGCTCTCACAGTGGTAAGATATGTGGGGACACAATGCAGAGGGCCTTCCTCGAATGGGCCTATGCCAAATTTGAGGTTGACAAGCTGTCTCAGGTCCATCATTTTCAGTGTCCTGCATGCACACCCACCATGTTGGCAGTTGCAGTGGATGGGAACCGCAAATTATATCGTTTCAAAAGCCAACCAGGGTGTGTAACATTCAAGGACAATGAAAAGTACAAATCAAGTACAAATTACTTCTATAAAATAAATTTGACCCACATCTACATCTAAAGACCAAGACCTGATGGGTTTTTTGATGGAGTCTTTTTGGCCAGTGATGCTGAGGTGTCCTCCTTTGTTGATTACATCCATGGAAAAACTGGACATGTAAGCTAAATTTATATTTCTTCATGTGTAACACCACAGTTTCACATTTTTATGAATGCTTGCCAGTTTTTCTCCCCAAAATGTAAACATTATTTGCTTTATGTAAGTGATAGAGCGGCATTACTCCATCAAATGCCATAATACCATGATTTACAGCTTATTTTATAAAATGTAACTGTGTAAATGTCTGTATTTGCCCTCATCTGTTTAAGAATCCAGGAAAAGGGAGATGTGGTGCGGGTCAGTGGACCGCAGCACGAGAGTCCGCCAACAAGTCTGCGAGTAAACTAGATGAGGAAGGTGTTGAAGTAGCTGTCTGCCGTCATGGGGTTTTGTTGAAGGGATTGAATATGTTTCGTAGAGAAGTTTTTGCATACCCATTATATCTCCAGAAACAGCTAGCTTCACAGAACGTTCAGTTCTTTTGCTCTGATGTGGTCTGCAAATATTGGCCATATCTGGAGAGAGTTGTGGACCACTGTCCAGAGTTGGAGGACTTGCTGGATATGCGCCCATTTCTCTCCATCATGCATGCAAAAGCGCATTCATGGATGTGTGAGGTAATCATGACAATTAGATGTATTTCTTACCATTTGTACCACATGTTATGATTGTCTGTCCTCTGCCCCTACTTGTTGTTTTCCAAATAATTACATTCATGTAAATGTGTTGCAGTTAAAATGGGGGGGGGGGCGCAATCAAGAAGGAGCTGGAACAACAATCGGGGAGGAGGTTGAACAGGTTAACAGCTTCCTCTCCCGAGCAGCCATATGTTCCAAGTACATGTCAAAAGCCGGTAAGCATTTTTCATGTATAGTTGTGTCAAAATTGAGACCAAGGGGTTTGAACACTGATGCTCGGCCTTTGCATTTTAGAGTTCCATGCATAGGTGAAAACGTCTCAGGTTACGACTGTAACCTATGTTCCCTGAGAACAGGGAACGAGACAATACGTCGAATGACGCAATGGGGAACGCCTCAGGCGTGACAGGTGTCTGAAATCAAATATCAACTCACAGTAATCAGGTTGACCGGCGACAGCCCGTGCATCATCAGCTTGAATGATGAGCGCGTCAATCTGGATGTATAAGCAGGGCGCCTTGAAACCGTGACAACATCCTATCGTCTGAAGGGACTGTTGCAGGCAGGCCCCGAGGCATGGCAACGAGACGTATTGTCTCGTTCCCTGTTCTCAGGGAACATAGGTTACAGTCGTAACCTGAGACGTTCCCTTTCGAAGGGAACTCAACAATACGTCGAATGACGCAATGGGGAACGAAATACCCACTCCGCCATGCTGAGGGGAGTGCATGCCGAAAAGGCAGTGACAACTGTCAGAACCAGTAATTCCAAGGAACACTGAAACCACTCACCCTATGTTACATCGGGCTGTCAGTGACAGCACTCCCTACCGGTCATAGCCCAAGCTAATGAACCAAGAAAAACCAGAACGTAATAACGTGGGTAAATCGGGGCCAGCTCAAAGGCTTTAGGACCACAACTTCAAAATAGAAGGGGTCCCTTCTAGGGAGTGTGGCTAGGGGGCCAAAGGGACCCCCAGCCAGTCACTATTCAGGAGAACGCTCCTCCTGAAATGCCCCCAGGCTGGCCTGGTGATCTGTACTAAGACACACAGTCTGGCCATAGCCTGTCCGTCCAAGACAGAGCCTCTGGAAATTGCCTAGGAAAGGCATGCAAAAACTGAAGGCCCGCGAAGCTGGCAGAAACCATCGAGTTTCGGATCACAGAGACGGGATCCTCCGGAGAGTGTGACTCAACCTTAAAACAACGGGAATCGTACACTCAATCCACGAGTTTCCACCCAGTGCTCGCTTTGAGCACTGAGGAAGTAAGAGAGGGATCAAAACCAGGAAGGTCAATGAGACCTAAGACCTGATGACCCCCTGTGTGGGGAGCTCTGAAACATGAGGGCTCATGTCAGGAAGGCCGTACATTGTGCGGCCTGAAACCCAATGACCACAGCATGTGGAAGCTCATCCTTCAGGAAAGCCAGAGGCTAGAAACCTGACAGACCCACAATGTGGGGCTACCTCGAAAAAGGTCTAATGAGACCTAAAACCACCAGTTGTGGGAGATAGCTTGAACAAGGGAAGTGCCTGTCGTAATGTATTGCGACAAAGACGCATCTAGAGTGGGACCCAAAGTGAAGAACCGGAGTCTGAACCACATAAGAAGGGACCGAAGCATAAGAAATGGATTTTAAAAAGTGCACAAGACATCTCGTCGGGTGACTTACCACAATAATAGGTGAAGTATGGGTTTGTGTACTTCACTCTGAATTCAGGAAGGCCTGGTGAGGCCTGTAACCTGGTGACCACAGTGTGTGGGAGCTCATGGCCAGGAAGGCCTGGTAAGGCCTGTAACCTTGTGACCACAGTATGCGGGAGCTCGTAACCTGGCGACCACAGTATGTGGGAGCTCATAACCAGGAAGGCCTGTTGAGGCCTGTAACCTGGCGACCACAGTGTGTGGGAGCTCATGACCAGGAACACCTGGTAAGGCCTGTAACCTGGCGACCACATTGGGTGGGAGCTCATACTCAGAAAGGTCAGAGAGACCCAGCCTGGTGACCACAACCTGTGGGAGCTTACTCCACCAAGTGGAGGCTACTTCTTCCAGAAGTTAGCTAGAGAAGGGCGTCCCTGTAGCCTATTTAAGTGACAGGACGCCTCTTAAAGTGGGACCCAAGGGAAGACCGGGGTCTGACCCACATAAGAAGGGACCGAAGCATACCGCGCATGACCCTTACCCTTAAATGGATTTTAGAAAGTACACAAGACATCCCGTCATGTGATTTACCACAATAATAGGTGAAGTATGGGTTCGTGTACTTCACTCTGAATTCAGGAAGGCCGAACTTGAGGCCTGTAACCTGGCAGCCACAACAAGTGGGAACCCATAATCAGGAAGGCCTGACGAGGCCTAACACCCGATAGTCCCAATGCATGGGGAGCTCACATTCAGGAAGGCCGCTGAGGCCTGCAGCCTGACATGTGAAGACTCACCACTACAACTTAGCGACCACGAAAAGTGGGGGTTTCACATTCAGGAAGGCATGGTGAAGCCTGCAACCTGACATGTGACAACTCATAACCAGGAAGGCCAAAGAAGCCTGGTGACCACAGAGTGGGAGCAAAGTGCTCAGGAAAGGTGGTGAGGCTGTAGTCTGGCTACTGCAGCATGTGGGAGCCCACATTCAGGAAGGCTGGGTGAGGCCTGTAAACTGACTACCACAGTATGTGGGAACTCATAACCAGGAAGGCCCCTTTGAGGCCTGTAACCTAGCAACCACAATGTGTGGGAGCTCATCACCAGGAAGGCCTGGTGAGGCCTATAACCTGACTACCACAGTATGTGGGAACTCATAAGCAGGAAGGTCCCTTTGAGGCCTGTAACCTAGCGACCACAATGTGTGGGAGCTCATAACCAGGAAGGCCTGGTGAGGCCTGTAACCTGGCGACCACAGTATGTGGGAGCTCATAACCAGGAAGGCCTGGTGAGGCCTGTAACCTGGCGACCACAATGTGTGGGAGCTCATAACCAGGAAGGCCTGGTGAGGCCTTTAACCTGGCGACCACAGTATGTGAGAGCTCGTATCCTGGTGACCACAGTATGTGGGAGCTCCTAACCAGGAAGGCCTGGTAAAATCTGTAACCCAGCGACCACAGCATGTGGGAGCTCATAACCAGGAAGGCCTGGTGAGGCATGTAACCTGGTGACCACAATAAGTGGGAGCTCATAACCAGGAAGGCCTGGTGAGGCCTGTAACCCGGTAACCACAGTATGTGGGAGCTCATAACCAGGAAGGCCTGGTGAGGCCTGTAACCTGGCGACCACAGTATGTGGGAGCTCATCACCAGGAAGGCCTGGTGAGGCCTGTAACCTGGCGACCACAGTATGTGGGAGCTCATAACCAGGAAGGCCTGGTGAGGCTTGTAACCTGGCGACCACAGTATATGGGAGCTCATAACCAGGAAGGCATGGTGAGGCTTGTAACCTGGCGACCACAGTATATGGGAGCTCATAACCAGGAAGGCCCGGTGAGGCCTGTAACCTGGCGACCACAATGTGTGGGAGCTCATAACCAGGAAGGCCTGGTGAGGCCTTTAACCTGGCGCCACAGTATCTGGGAGCTCATAACCAGGAAGGCCTGGTGAAGCCTGTAATCCAGCGACCACAGCATGTGGGAGCTCATAACCAGGAAGGCCTGGTGAGGCCTGTAACCTGGCGACCACAATCACTGGGAGCTCATAACCAGGAAGGCCTGGTGAGGCCTGTAACCCGGGAAACACAGTATGTGGGAGCTCCCACAGATGTCTCTCCGTGGCCACCATAGCACCGACGGAACAGCAGATTGCTTGGTGGCCCGGAGTCCCGCAGCAGATCAGTCTGGTAGGCCTGAGGACCACAAGGGCGTGCAGAACCGCACCTGCCTGACCTGCTGCCGTGTACGCTCTGTCATTCAAGCATGAAGATGTCTTGAGCAGCTTGGATGACAGGGTCAGAGCTCTAAGTGAAGAGGACCAACCAGAGACGAGATAGTTAGCCAACGTCTCGTCCACTGGCGGCATCGACACATATCCGTGCTCCACGGCTCCCTCCACAGCAGCGAAACTAGCCCGCTGATGCAGACAGAGACGTGAGGAGAACGGATTCTTCCATACCCTCTCGATCCCAGCGTGGAGATCGGAAAGGAATGTAAGGCTCATCCGGGCTGGTGGCTTATGGGTGGGGAGGAACCAGCCATCCAAAATACCATGAGCGGGTTCCTCCCAGACGCGCCTCCACTGCAACTGCAATCTGTCTGTGGTGCGCCCCATAATGTCAACCAGCTCAGCGTACACTGGGCAGGAGGGCTGAAATGGTTCGGTCTCAACCAAACTGACATCCTTTTCTGTATATATATATATATATATATATTACAGCCAACTCCTGCCCTGCCCGAAGAGAACAGTTACAGATTCACCAAAGAGAGAGAGCGCTCATTTTCTCTCTTCTTAGAAGTTCAACGTTAATCTGTAACTCACCCTCGTCAGCTGGTAGATCATCCGCGAGGTTAACGCCCCTCTCCCGATAATCTGCCAGCTCCATCTGAAAGCTCCACGAGCTCAACCGCCACTGAGCCTCAGCCCGAGCGGGAACCGGAACCGCGGGGTTCAGATGCCGCGCCCATTTCCCTCGAGAAGTGGGTCAGACGAGAGCAGAGAGTTCTGAAAGGAAAACTCTCAGTTCGCGCAAAAAAAACTCCCTCGAGAGCTTCCCGCGAATGCTCTTCTCTCAGGCAGAACACGCACAGATCGTGTGAATCCTCCAGTGTCAAATATCTGGACCAGTCGGCACACTTGCGCAAAGTGTTTCTCCACGTCTCTGCGCGCTTAATCGTTGATACTATCACACAGACAAACAGTCCCTGAAGATGAAAAGAATGTTGAATGTTGTATTCTACGAATGTAGAATGTGTATATTTGGGCATCAAACAGTGAAAATTTCAGCTGTATCGTCAGTCTGGTGAGAGCAGAAAAGGCAACTAGTAATGCAGATTTGTGAAAAAATGAATTCACTACTGATTTATACATAGTAAAAATAGCAAACCCATTTATATATAAAAAAAGTATGTTTACTACAAGTCAGGGCAGCATACTGAAAAACTGTCAAAATCATAATAAGGTTTAGTGCAATATCCAAATATTTCCAATATTTCTGCAAAGTGCAGAGATGTCCTGACCTATCTATTTTGTCCTCTATTTTAAAAAAATGTATGATTGTTTAAAATAGATTCTGGAAAAAATGCAAAAAAATCTGTCACAATAATCATAACACATACATGCATATTGTGAAGTCGTATTTTGTATGGTGCTATTGTGTAGTCATCGTGTGAATCCACACTCATTTTGTGTTTCTCATTGTAGGTGGGAAAAAGCGAAGGCATCAACTGAGAAAAAAGATTGCTGTTGAGAAGAAAGCCTTGGAAGTTGCCATCAATGACTACAATGCTACTGTGGGGGAAGTTGAAAAACTCCCTCCTCCCAATGAACTCCTGGCTGTGGACAACTACTCCTGGCCATGGGAATGTAAGTACTTCCTCTGAAATGCACTGAATACAATTTGTTTTATGCACACATCTTGATGTAAATATGGAATCTGATGTAAAAAACGTTATCTGATGTTAAAAAAATAACACATGGGGCAATATACAAAAAAAAAAAAAAAAAAGAATGCAGAATGCAATTTGTAAATGTATGTGATCAAACCCCTTTGTGAAGCGCTGGGGTTCTATCTCATCCTTCCAGGGTTTATTTCTCTATTGTAGTAGTACAGCATGCAAAATATCTTCTGTCCCAATATTTTTATAAATGGTAAATGGACTGCATTTATATAGCGCCTTTATAGACCTAATGGCCACCAAAGCGCTTTACATTTTGCCTCACATTCACCCATTCACACACACATTCATACACCGACGGCGGTGTCAGCCATGCAAGGCGCCAGCCAGCTCGTCGGGAGCAGCTGGGGTTAGGTGTCTTGCTCACGGACACCTCGACACTTGGTCAGGTGGAACCGAGGATTGAACCACCAACCTCTTGGTTCGTAGACAATCCACGTGAACCACTGAGCCACTGCCGCCCTTATAGGCTGTAAGATAACACTTTGACGTAATGTATTGCAGGTCATGGTGATATGGAGCAGAAAAAAATGTTTTTGACACGGTAATGCTGCTGGCTAGACTGAAAGAAGAAGAAGTTCTTGTGGTTCGTGAAGTCAAGCAGCACATGGAGTACATGAGGAGTCCCCGGAAACATTTCCGTTGTGGACCGTGTTATTTGCAGCGCGTGTCTGTATTTGGTGGTGTTGTGAACGTTTGCAGCGGGTTTCTGTATTTGGTTGTGTTGTGAGTACTTGGAGCACAGGTGTGTTGTGGAACTGATGAAGATGTTTTTCTTAATTTGCAGATGTATTTTTGTATTTGAATGCGTTTTTATAGTTGCACACGTTTTTTTGAATTTGCATTCGTCTTCATCAGGTTGCAGCGCAGTGAGCTCTCTCGGCCACCGTAATGAAGGCTCTCTATGAAGTTTTAATTAATAGTAAGTGTGTTCGATTATTTAAAATCTTACTTCAGTCAACATAAAAATAAATGTGGCACAGACACAGCAATTACAGTTGGGAATTGTCTTGGTAGCGCTGCCACAGGGCAAACCACAGTGGACCAAAACTAGCTATTCACCTGTTCATCAAATTTGGTCTTTGCTTTATCCAATAGGTTTTTCTGTAACACTTTATAATAATAGTCTGTCAGTCATTAATAAGTAACTATGCAGGAAGTAATGCAGGACTAATGAATAATACTACATTAACACTTCAGCTACTACTATTAACTAATATTGAAACACTATGCAGGAACTACTAGTGATCTGGACCATTATTTTAAAGTGATAAACATATTTTTTTCTATATTTCATATTTTTTAAAATAATGGTCCAGATCACTAGTAGTCCTTGAAGAGTGACTAGGTAACACTTGAGTAATTAGTGATGCATTTTATGACCATGTTGAGAGTAAAAAAAGACAATTTCTAACGTATCAGAGACGTTAATGTTGTGATTATTAATTTAATTAGTTATTTATAATTTGTCATAATTACCTATTAGTTCTTAATTATCTTATTAAGTAATTATAGATTACCTAATAATGAACTCTCTCCTAAATTTGATATTACTTACTAATAAGTTAAGATTGTCTCTATATTAGTTAATAGCTGAAGTGTTAATGTAGTTGTCACCACCCATGGACTGTCTGTGTTTTGATTCACCACGTGTTCCCCTCGTCTGAGTTCTCCGCCCTCATCTGTTTCCATGGACACTAATCACCTCCCGCACAGCTGATTGTCATCTGTTATCACCGTCACTGTGTATTTAAGTTCCTGCCTGTCTTCACTCCCTTGTCCGGTATTGATTGTGTTTACATGCTGTCTACCCGTCTGCCTGTTCCTGAGCTTCATTAATTAAAGTATTCGTGTTAATGTTACCTTCCTCCTCGTCTTCCTTGGATTACCGCGTGACAGAATACCGGACCAAACTGCAAGATGAACCTTGATTTCATCTCCCTAGCGGAAGTGTCACTGGACTTTGTTTCATTTTCAAGAGACTTTGTTTCACTTGCACTCTCCAGTCCCCTAGATGACGAAACCCTGAAGACCCTGTTCTGGATCGGGGCCACCTACCACCAGCACTTCGACCTCCCAGACACCTCTGACCTGGACTGGAAGGAGGCCGTTTCCCGGTGTCTGGAGAGCGTCGAAGCCCGATCCAGAACACTGCCAGACCCAGAGCCGGAATTACCACCCTCGACCGCGGAGATTTCGTGCGTGCCCCCCGCAGACGGAGAGCTACCACCCGCCGCGACGCGTCAACCAGTGCCCGAGACGAAGAGGACAGAGTTGACCCTCGCCCCGGGGGAGGAGCTCCAACAGGAGTCTGACCAGGGGTGTGAGCCCACGACATCTGCGGACGAGGGGACTAATTGCCCGGAACTGGAGGACTGGCTGATGAAACCCAGGACTCTGGATATCATTCCCGCCCTATCCCACCCGTCATCTGCATCCCTTTCATATTTTGAATCATCCTGTGATGACTTCTGTCCTGCCGTCTGTCTAATTCACTCCACTCCATCTCCGTTCCCAGTCAGTCCTCCAGCCTCGCCGCTGCTGGATGTGCGCAGCCCTGCACCATCTCCGTGGGGAGTCCCCGACGTCGAGCGGCAGGTCAGCCCACCATCCGCAGCGCCTGTGTTTGAGGATCCCACGGCTTCGCCTCCAGCCTCGGTCCTCGACACTCCATCTCGGCCAGTCGACCTGCCAGCTCCGTCTCGGCTCCTCCCACCTGCGCCTCCGCCTGAGACCATCGAGACATCGGCTGCAGCGATTTCCCTCGTCCTGCCGGCTCCCCCTTGGTCAGTCGTCACTCTGCCTGCGCCACGGACTTGCGGTCAGTCTGCTACGCTTGTTCCCTCCACCCCTTCGGCTTCAGCGGGCTCCTCCTTCCCTGTGGCGTCTCCTCTGTCCTCCATCACTCCACCTCCACCTCAGCTCTCGGGCACTCTGGCTACGGCTCCAGCGCTCGTCGCCGCTACGTCACCGGGGTCTCCCATACCGGTGACGTCGCTTGAGTCCACCGGCTCTCCGTCTGCGCCGAGAGATCCTGCCACCGAGTCTCCGTCGGTCATCCCCCAGCTACCGTCAGTTCCCTCGCCATCTGGTTTCTTCCCTCAGTCTTCTCTGCCATCGGCTGTCGGTACTGGGAGGCTCTGGGTCTGCGCCACCGCGCCATCCCCATCAAGGCCGCCAGGGAATCGTCATCGTCCCCTCACCGTTCCGTCACTCCAGCCTCTCGTCTGTGATTCACCATCGTCTCGTCCTCCACCTGAACCTCCCTCCGTTCCCCCTCCGAGGTCGCGCCTTGCCGGAGGGGGGCGATCTGTCACCACCCATGGACTGTCTGTGTTTTGATTCACCACGTGTTCCCCTCGTCTGAGTTCTCCGCCCTCATCTGTTTCCATGGACACTAATCACCTCCCGCACAGCTGATTGTCATCTGTTATCACCGTCACTGTGTATTTAAGTTCCTGCCTGTCTTCACTCCCTTGTCCGGTATTGATTGTGTTTACATGCTGTCTACCCGTCTGCCTGTTCCTGAGCTTCATTAATTAAAGTATTCGTGTTAATGTTACCTTCCTCCTCGTCTTCCTTGGATTACCGCGTGACAGTAGTAATACTCATTAGTCCTGCATTACTTCCTGCATAGTTACTTATTATTGATGGATCATTATTATAAAGTGTTACTGATTTTTCTTTTAGAGCTGCGACAATTATTTGATATTTGAGATTGTTATACAATTAATCACCAACAATTTTGATAATTGTTTAATAAAAAATGCTCTGCTTTCAGAGTCTTACATTAGAATATATATGTGTGTGTGTGTGTATATATATATATATATATATATATATATTCATACATCATCTTTTAGAGTATGAAAATAACTGCTGTTTGCAGACTTAGTTTCTTAGTTTGAGCCACATAGCTCACTGATTGTCTGCCATACATGGCAAAAGAGTCAACAGCAAGATGCATTGCTCAATTGAGCGTCAGCGTCAGTTCTGGCAGGCCAGGTAGTCAAGACGCTGTTTATGCCATTTGCTAATACAATCTCGTCAGCTGATCCGCTCCAGCTGAGCTGCATTAGCTGAGTTACTCCCCTTGCTGCTCAATGGCCAAAGCTCAAACAAGCGCACCATTTAAAGCTCATTCAGTTTGCTCAATACATGCTTGCTGCTCGCTTCTGCTGCTTTATGCGTTGTTTAAAAAAATCACTCATGTTGTTAAGCGCAAAAGTACTGTTTTCACTCATTCTATTGTCTGCTATGACTTCCACCGCTGTCGAAGAAGAATGGCACGACTCTTCTGAGGAAACCCGGCCATCATCATTCCAAACAGATCAGAGGCAGGATGCCAGCCCGGAAGATAACGCCACCGCTCGTAGGAGTTCTCGGCGGCTGGCGAATAAATCGTCCCAACTATGCATCGGCGATTGGCCCGTGGCAAAAATACTGGAAACCCTATTTTTAAACGTCATTCAGCCTCCGCGTGGCACTTCTCATGAGGACCTATTTGCCCTCCTCTGCGATTCTATAGCCATTCCAGTCGTTGACTCTCCACCGGTGCCTCCTCCCCAGTCCGGAAAAAAGCACACATCGAAGCGAAAAAATCCCGAGACGGCCAACAAAGCCCCAGCGCAAAAACGAGTCACCTGCCCTGTTCGTCCAGGCCCAAGTGCTTTTTCAGATGATCCAGTGCTCATGGCACTTTCTGATATCCAATCTTCTCTCCTCGGAATGTCCGCTAGGATATCAACACTGGAAGACGGCTCCCTCTCGACGTCCACCACGGCTTCAACTTCCGCTGTTGTCTCCGACCTGCATCATCCGCGCCAGCCTCAAAGTGATGACGTCACCACGGAATTTTTACCTAAAAGGACCCTAGCAACCACCGTACCTTTCTCCACTGGCTCGCCTTTTTTCCCACCAGCTGCTGCCATCTCTCATCAGCTGAGGGGACAGATATTGGCAGGTAATGACATTAACCTCGTTAAACTCCTACTGGGCTCCGAGCTGTGTGAACGGCGTGTCGTAGACTGTGGTGACGTGCATGTGGAGCTTAAAGATGGGGATCCTAGACTTTCAAAAATCCTGACTTTTCATGAGTTCGTTACCGCATTCGGAGTTTATAGGGACGTAATTTGTGAAGTCTATCCAGCGCGCAGAGCCGAACTAGATACCTATCTGGCCATAATTTCTGACCTAGCTCTCTCTTACGGTGGGGTTCTATTCTATGAGTATCACAAGTCTTTTTCTGCAAAAGCGGCTATGTTTATTCAACGCTTCAATCAGAGACTAGACTGGTCCGTGGTCGATCTCGCGCTCATAAGTAGACACTTTACAGGTCACCAAATCCAAATGCTCTAAATCTAAGCCTATTTCCTCCATGTCTCATCCTGGCCCGAGCTAAAAAACTGGCTCCCAGGTGAATAACTTTACTACTCCTATTTGCTTTAATTTCAATGAAAATATTTGTAGGATGCATAATTGTAAATATTTTCACGTTTGTAGCTACTGTGGGAACGCCCACC